AGAGAGAGAGAGAGAGAGAGAGAGAGAGAGAGAGAGAGAGAGAGAGAGAGAGAGAGAGAGAGAGAGAGAGAGAGAGAGAGAGAGTTGCAACAATAGACAACACGCGCGAGGTTTTACTTTCGTAGTATACACGTTCTGTCCATGGCATGCGAGAACTGTCGCGACTACCCTTCTACCTCACTGCTCAGGTAATCCTTTCAGCCATTGTCCCTGAATTTATACCCTATTCCTTATCCTTCCCACCTACTTGTCCTCATTCCCTGCCTCTGAGTTTTCCGTAGTCGCGCTCTGTACTGCCCTTGTCGTCGTTGATGATTTCCCATGGTCGTCGACTTGCTGTATATAACGTCTTCCTCCTGTGTACGCTTCTGTCCTAATGTCATTTCCTATTTCTATTTCTCTTTTAGTCGGAATTCGGTACTCGATTCAGTTGCTTTCCCTTTCGGCCGTATTTCTGTCGAGATTTTGTCAAAATTTTGATGTTTATATTTGACTTGTATTACTGGCTTGTATTTGGCTTTGTTTGTTGCTTTTGTCATTCGCGCGGTCGTGGGTTTCATCATTATATCTCAGGTGAGTACTTTCATTTTCCTGTCGCCTGTACTTTGGAAACGTATGATTATCCTGGGTCTCGATTCGATTCATTTACTGCGTATGTTGGGAAATCCATCCGGTACTTCTTGCATCATTATATCTGTAGATTTTGCTGGTCCTTTATGTGATTTTCTAGTTTTTTCCGTTGCATGCACGTTTTTCTTTTTCCTTTTGTCGCTTTTATGTTTCTCTTTTATATCATTTTTCGATTGGTGTTTCTTTTGCTTCCTGACACTCACGGAATTTATTTCGGACTTCGGTGTCCTTGCAGTTTCTGATGAACGCCACACTCACCGTGCGGGTTATCTTCCATGGGTAGTCCATCTGTCTGAGTTCCTTACAAGACAGCTTCATTACCGTGGTCAGATCTGCGACATCATATGTGTTCGCACCATTCTGTGAAACATGCCAATTATTGTCAGAATTTTTGTTTTCTGGTCAAAATTTTTGTTTTCTGGGAACCAGCACTCCTGAAGTGACGCAATGTCCTCTGAGAGAGAGAGAGCTCAACAACCCCTCCTGGAGTGTTGCTTCGTTCTTCAGTTTATGTGTACACTTCAGGAGGGGCTCGTGATCCATCTTTGATATTGTGGTTTCGCGATATGTCCATTTAGTACTTTCCTTCTCTGATGTTGATTCAAGCTTCAGTGAATGGTGATAACATGTTCTGAACGATTCTATGCATCTCAATTCTTTCTCCTGATTTTCTTTATTTATCTTCTATTATTATGATCATCACATCGTAATTCATTGTGTTAGTGAGATAAACAAGAGTCTGTATTGTTCATTGTGTGAATGGCATCTACTTATCTTACCCTGTCTCTTATACACATCTAGATGTGTATAAGAGAAAGGGAGGAGGAAAAAAGAGGGAGTGAGGGGGAAAAAAAACAGGAGGAGGAAAAAGAGGGGAAGGAGGAGGGGAAAGAGGGGGGCCGTTTTATTGGAAAAGAGGAGAAGATGAGGTCGAACACATGAAAGCGATGGCGATGGCTATGGCGGGGGAAGGACTATGTACGTAATGAAGGCGAGACTGCTGACAGTGACAAGAACAGGAGGAGGATATGATAGCGATGGCGATGCCAATGGCGGTATGGGTTCTGCCTGTCTGTTGGTGTTCGAAGATTTCTGAGGAGGCCGAAACGAAAAAAGCCCTCTCTTTCCTTTGTCTTAATTTAATCCACCTGGTTGTTGCTGTTTGTATATCAGCAACTGAATTTTTCTTCTTCTGTTTTGTGTGTCTGCATTTGTGTGTGTGTGTGTGTGTGTGTGTGTGCGCGCGCGCGCATGCACGTATTGCTGTGCAGAAGCCTATGCTTGTTTGTGGGAAGAGATCTCGATAGCCGGAGGACGGACATGATACATTGGAGAAAGAGCAGTTGCTAAGGGACTGATCAAGCGAGAGGACCAAGGCATATATCTAGACATAGAAACATGTGTATTCTCACAGAGAACTGGCCGGTGAACCATAGGCAGAAAGGGAGACAAGGACAAGAAACGTAGGCAAGGCTACTGATCGTCGGAATTTCACCGACTCATCAGGAGGCTGACGATATATATAACAATATATATGAGTCGTTGAAACTCCGACGAAACAGTTTGTCACAGCCCCTCGTTTGTTGTCCTCTTCTCTCTCTCTGCCTACGGTTTACCGCGCAGTTCTGTTTGCGACGAGATATATATATACTCTGTTTGGCGATGTATATATGTATGTATGTATGTTTGGATGTATATCGGCATAGAGAACTGCCCGGCGAACCGCAGGCAGAGAGGGAAAAGAGGACAACAAAGGAGGGGCTGTGACAGACTGTTTCGTCGGAGTTTCACCGACTCATCAGGACGATGATCCCTCTCTGAAAACTGGCCAGTGAAGCGTAGGCAGAAAGGGAGAAAAGGACAAAAGAACGGGGAGAGGGGGCTGTGTGTATATGGTGTAGAGGAGAGGGGGATTGGACAAATCCGCCAGGGCTAGATGGGGTCTCGTGTAGCGAACTTGTGGGTGTGTGGGGCATGCAGCACTTCCTCGCTGGTCAGCTATGGCGTCAAGAGTTTCCAGGAAGAAGAGTGGCTAAGGAAGCCGATCGGCATGCCAATTAGTATAGGCGGAGGAGGAGGAGGAGGAGGAGGAGGAGGAGGAGGAGGAGGAGGAAACAGAAGAAGATGGTCTGTTGTATCGAGGAGTATGGCCCAACAACAGGAGGAAGAGGAGGAGGAGGAGAACCTGGGAGCCATAGATGGGGAAAACTCCCCCAGTTTTCTCTCCACCTCCAACGCCAGCTCAACCTCAACCTCAACCTCAACCGTAAGCCCCATCTCCGGCTCGAGCGCGACCTCAACCTCAAGCTCCAGCTTCAGCTCCAGCTTTAGATCTCAATCCAAGGGCTTCGGTTTGTCCAACAGGAGAGACGAAAGCAAGGGAGGCAACACCAAAAAGCCAGCAAAGAAAAGTTGTAGCAAGGGAAAGGGAAGGACAGCTGGAAGGGAGGAGGAAAAGGGGAGTGGAAGAATCACAGTCTCGAAGTCCATCGATCAGAGTGTGAAGAATATTGAACGGGTGAGTGTGTATCTCTGTTTGAAGCCAGTGGGAATCACATAATTTTATGCATCTCAGCATCCAACTGCCAGTCCTGTTCCCAAAGTTCTGAAGCCCCATGTCTGGTAGGTAGGATAGCTTGGTCCAGTCTGGTAGCCGTAGCAGGGCTGATAGGCTTTTTGGTCCACTTAGTCGAGTTCAGTGAGTCAGTCCAACCCAGTTGCCAGCTCAGTCCCATGAAAATCATTGAAATTTTCAGATGTGTTGAAAGCCGGCGGCCGGCAACAGCAGGTGCCACTCCGGAAGAGTCCAAGATTGGGAAGTGCAGCGTAGTACAAAAGTCCAGCAGCAGCAAAGGGTGAACACAATTTCCAACCAAGCTTGCTGCAGAAGCGCTGTGGTGACTTTGTGCAGCCGAGTTTTGAGTGAGATCTGAGAGGCAGTTGAGTAGAGCAGTTGACAACGCTAGGTGCCATAGTTGGTGTCTGTGTGTGTGTGTGTGTGTGCGGGATGCAAGGAGTACCGCATTGATTTCCCAACATACGCAGTAAATGAGTCGAATCGAAACCCAGGATAATCATACGTCTCCAAAGTACAGGCGACTGAAAAATGAAAGTACTCACCTGAGATATAATGATGAAACCCACGACCGCGCAAATGACAAAAGCAACAAACAAAGCCAAATACAAGCCAGTAATAAACGTCAGATATAAACACGAAAATTTCGGCAAAATCTCGACAGAAATACGGACGAAAGGGAGAGCAACTGAATCGAGTACCGAGTTCCGACCAAAAGAGAAATAGAAATAGGAAATGACATTAGGACAGAAGCGTACACAGGAGGAAGACGTTATATACAGCAAGTCGACGACCACGGGAAATCATCAATGACGACAAGTGCAGTACAGAGCGAGACTATGGAAAACTCAGAGGCAACGATGATGAGGACACTGCAGGGAATGAGGACAAGTTAGGGGGGAGAGAGAGAGAGAGAGAGAGAGAGAGAGAGAGAGAGAGAGAGAGAGAGAGAGAGAGAGAGAGAGAGAGAGAGAGAGAGAGAGAGANAGAGAGAGAGAGAGAGAGAGAGAGAGAGAGAGAGAGAGAGAGAGAGAGAGAGAGAGAGAGAGAGAGAGAGAGAGAGAGAGAGAGTTGCAACAATAGACAACACGCGCGAGGTTTTACTTTCGTAGTATACACGTTCTGTCCATGGCATGCGAGAACTGTCGCGACTACCCTTCTACCTCACTGCTCAGGTAATCCTTTCAGCCATTGTCCCTGAATTTATACCCTATTCCTTATCCTTCCCACCTACTTGTCCTCATTCCCTGCCTCTGAGTTTTCCGTAGTCGCGCTCTGTACTGCCCTTGTCGTCGTTGATGATTTCCCATGGTCGTCGACTTGCTGTATATAACGTCTTCCTCCTGTGTACGCTTCTGTCCTAATGTCATTTCCTATTTCTATTTCTCTTTTAGTCGGAATTCGGTACTCGATTCAGTTGCTTTCCCTTTCGGCCGTATTTCTGTCGAGATTTTGTCAAAATTTTGATGTTTATATTTGACTTGTATTACTGGCTTGTATTTGGCTTTGTTTGTTGCTTTTGTCATTCGCGCGGTCGTGGGTTTCATCATTATATCTCAGGTGAGTACTTTCATTTTCCTGTCGCCTGTACTTTGGAAACGTATGATTATCCTGGGTCTCGATTCGATTCATTTACTGCGTATGTTGGGAAATCCATCCGGTACTTCTTGCATCATTATATCTGTAGATTTTGCTGGTCCTTTATGTGATTTTCTAGTTTTTTCCGTTGCATGCACGTTTTTCTTTTTCCTTTTGTCGCTTTTATGTTTCTCTTTTATATCATTTTTCGATTGGTGTTTCTTTTGCTTCCTGACACTCACGGAATTTATTTCGGACTTCGGTGTCCTTGCAGTTTCTGATGAACGCCACACTCACCGTGCGGGTTATCTTCCATGGGTAGTCCATCTGTCTGAGTTCCTTACAAGACAGCTTCATTACCGTGGTCAGATCTGCGACATCATATGTGTTCGCACCATTCTGTGAAACATGCCAATTATTGTCAGAATTTTTGTTTTCTGGTCAAAATTTTTGTTTTCTGGGAACCAGCACTCCTGAAGTGACGCAATGTCCTCTGAGAGAGAGAGAGCTCAACAACCCCTCCTGGAGTGTTGCTTCGTTCTTCAGTTTATGTGTACACTTCAGGAGGGGCTCGTGATCCATCTTTGATATTGTGGTTTCGCGATATGTCCATTTAGTACTTTCCTTCTCTGATGTTGATTCAAGCTTCAGTGAATGGTGATAACATGTTCTGAACGATTCTATGCATCTCAATTCTTTCTCCTGATTTTCTTTCTTTATCTGCTATTATTATGATCATCACATCGTCGTTCATTGTGCTCGTGAGATAAACAAGAGTCTGTATCGTTCATTGTGTGAATGACATCTACTTGTCTTACCAGGATTTCATCAAAACGGACATTTTTTATTTTTTGAACGAAATCGAACCGACTACTTTGGCCCGAATCCGCCCGAGCCAGGACGAAATTTGACGAATGTGAGGGTCTGCCACCCCCAAGACGTATTTGGACCTAGCTGGAGTCCAGGGGGTCCAGCGTTTTAAGAACGTCGGACCCCCTGGATGTACCTAGACTTTGTTAAGTCCAGGGGGTCCGGCGTCTTAAGAACGCCCGACCCTCAATTTCGACAACATTTCAACTTGGCTCAGGTGGATTCTTGCCAAATTAGTCGATTTCAATTTCGTTCAAAAAATAAAAAAATGTCTGTTTTGCACAGTGCATGAGTGAGTTCAGAGTTATGTACGGACTTACACCAGAAAGTTTCACGTATGCATCTGATGGCAGTTACAGTCACATTCAGTGGGCAAAGAAAATTAACTACTACTGTGAGTAGTATGGCCGAACTCTTCTGAGTTTTGTAGGTGCTACACCGCCTCCGGGGTTTTGGCTTTCTCTTAACAGCCAGCCAGGTTGTTGTCGGTTGTCTGTTTTCTGTTTTTTGGTGAGAAAGATTGGAAAAAGTCAAATCATTGACTTGGGCGAAGCAAGCAGAGGCAGGGTGGATTTTGCAGAGGTAGACTCTTGGGCCACTGGAACAGGAGATGAGGCCGACCTGGACAATCTCAAAGTTCGGAGTTTCAGTCCTTCCTTCACCCCTGCAGATGAAGAAGGCCTCTTCTATGAGCAGCTAGTCCGAAGGCTACAACTCCTTGAAAGCAAGGTGGTCCCTCTTCCCCCAACCACCCCCTCCCTTCCCCTCTCTTCTGCCCCCTTCCTGCACCTTCCCCCTTCCCCCTTTCCCGTCCTCCCACTCAATACGTAAGGTAGTGGTTCCTGCCCCCTGTCCGCATCAGCAGGCAGGGGATCTACATGTGGCCAACGTCCTTGGTCCCTGTCACAGCCTGTCCCTGCATGTCTGCATGTGCAGCCGGCCTTTCCCAGCCTGTCCTGTGCGGCCTGTTCCAGCAGGCCTGTCCTGACGTGCTGTCCATCCTGTCCCAGCCTGCCTCAGCCTATCCCAGCCTCCCCTGTTCCAGTCTGTCCCAGCCTGCCTGTCCCAGCATAACTGCAAGTGGTCTTCAGCCTGTGCTGGAAGAAATGAAAATACATAGATAAAATAATGATAACAAGAACCAATCGACAATGCTCGGGAGAATTGAGACTGATATGGGACTATATGGCCATGGCTGCTTTGCCAAACAGACATAATTAGGGACAGGTTCAATGAACCGCAATCTCTTTACCCCTGTCTCCTTGCTGTACTCGGCTCATGGATTTTGCTTTGCCTATCGGTCAATGAACGGTTTCTTCTTTTTAACTTTCTCAGATGCCTTTGTGCAGTGGGAAATTTGGCACTGCTGCAGTTGCCATTGCTTCCCCCCCTCCTCTTTTTTTTGACCATTTCTAAATGTATGCGTGTCATTGTCGCGCAGGGGCCGTGCTAGTTGCCACTTCTACTTTTAGATTGAGGCGACATGCAGTTTGTCCATGCACATCATATATTTTAGTTCATCCACACAGCATATCTATTTGTTTATCAACACAGCATGTCTGTTCATTTATCCACACACCATATCTGTTTGTTTATCCACACTGCATATCTGTCCACCGGAGCTTTATCCACAGCCTTATCCGTAGGAGCCCAACTTTGCCTGCTCTGTTAGACCACCACCAGTACACGGCCCCAGCATTGCAGAAATTTATTCGTCACCTACTCCAGAAATTTTGTGGCTTGGGTTTACCAGACCACAATGGCTGGCGGCACCAGCCTAAAAAGAAAAAAAGTGAGCCACTGGTGGTTCGGAAAAGCTTGGCATGCAGTGCAGCGCCTCCAGGCCCAAGTGTACTGGTGGTTTAAACCACCAGTACACCCGCACCTAAAATCCCGAACCTACCTGCCCACTGCGTGCCACTATTTTCCGAGCCTTCTGCGTGAGGGTACCTGCATTGGGAATTTTGGAAGTGGCACTGGTGCCGGCAGTCTGCCTGAAGGGAAAAAAGAAAAAGAAAAGAAAAGAAAGGAACAAACATGCCAGAGAGCAATGATTTCGTGAAATGACGTCATGGAGGCCATACGCAAATGATCACTTTCCTGAATGTATCTGACCACTATTACGGGGAGAGGGAAACATTGCTGTTTTTCCTTTTTTTCTGGTTTTGTTTTTTTCTTCCTGGCCCTGCCAGCAAGGCAGCGCATATTCCTCTTGCTCAAAATGTCCTCGCTGCAGGCATACTCACACTAGCGACGTTGAAATGCATCCAACCCATACTTGCGGCGCACCGACCCTGTGCGCTGCGCGGTGCGCCGCGCGCTGTGCGGTGCGCGGACCCGAGGTGTGCGGACCCGAGGTGCGCGCGCACCAGGGTGCGCAGTGCGCTGCGCTCAGGGCCGGTGCGCTGGGGGGTGCGCGCTGGCGGGGCGCAGGTGCGCCGGGTGCGCACAACATTTTTTTTTTTTTTTTATCTTACTGTTTGTCTCTCCAACGTTGCAGCTGGCCTCCTGGTACTTCCATCGAAACGATGAGCAAAATCGAGTGAATCTACCGCTGCAACATGGAAATATACACCGCCACATTTGTGTGTGTGTGTGTGTGTGAGGGAGAGAGAGAGAGAGAGAGAGACAGGAAACCGTGTGGGAGAGAGAAGAAACCGTGTGCTGACACTATCGGACCGAAGAAACCGCCCTTATCAACGGACAACATGAATCCGGAAGCGGGGCGACATGCAGAAAGGACAAACAATATGGCGGTGTATCTTTCCATGTTTTGGCGGAAGATTCATTNAGAGAGAGAGAGAGAGAGAGAGAGAGAGAGAGAGAGAGAGAGAGAGAGAGAGAGAGAGAGGAAACCGTGTGAGAGAGCGAAGAAATCGTGTGCTGACACTATCGGACCGAAGAAACCGCCCTTGTCAACGGGCAACATGAATCCGGAAGCGGGGCGACATGCACAAAGGACGAAAAATATGGCGGTGTATCTTTCTGAAACGGTATTCACCAGTTCGCGGTAGCGAATGCAGATCCCAGGGCTCGATCCCTAGATCCCCGTCTTACCTGCTTACAGTATCAATGTCAACCCGTAGACTTGAAACTGCGACCTGTAGGAACGCCAGTGGTTGGCAAATTGTCGTAGGTCACAGGGTAGAAGGGAATCGAACTGTAGACCTATAGAGTAGGAGTCTAGACAGTTCCGAAGTCGTAGCTGTAGACTGCCTGAGGAGTCAAGGTCGTAGCTGCTACTTACCTGAAAGGGCAAAGTCGTAGCTGCTACAGTACCGAAACTTGCCCTTCTAGAAGTGGCCTTTCGGAGTTGGCCTTCATTCAACAGAGGCACGTGGTCAAGTGGTGGTAGACCACTTCGCTGAGTCAATATTCCCAGTTAGTCAGTCCGGTCCTGTCCCGCAAGTACCGTCTGGGACTGTATGCACATCGTGGGCCAAGGGGTATGGGGCAGACCAACGCAGCGCAGAAGTATAAATCAAGAGGCTGCGTCCAGCCATTCATTCATTCCTGCGGATGCCATGCGGAAGCGCTGCCTCAGCAGCTTGTGCAAGGAGGTCTGCAGTGCGCCCGAAGACGAAGAGGGCAGTGAAGTGTAGTATAGCGATAGGGTAGTGGCAGCTAGCGCTGCCATAGCTGTTGTACAGTGTGTGTGTGTGTTGCGTATGAACACTGAGTGTTGCGTGTGGGACATCCATGGTGATCCAGAGTGCGAACAGTGAGTTGTGTGGGCGCAGAGCCGCCATAGCCAGTTGAAGAGAACTCTTATCCGGTTACAATATCTTTGAGTACTGTGTGGGCACATGTCGCCAGTTTGCTGTATCGCTGTTTGCATGCAAGAGAAGTGTGAATAAACCAAGTTTGATTGCACTTTCCATGTTCTGGCGGAAGATTCATTCATACGTTGGGTGGTGGAGAACGAAGGGCCGATGAATCTGGTAAGCTCGTAACGTATCTCTGGAAACTTTTTTTTTTTTTTTGGGAGAATCTCTGAACAAATGAGACTGAATCCTCCGCTTGAACATGGAAAGATACATTGCCATTTATGGGCCTCGCTGCACTACTCTGGAAATCTGCAAAACGAGAGTGAATCTTGCGTTAGAATATGGAAAGATACACCGCCAATATTTTTGTCTTTTGTGCATGTTGAGAGTAGTGCAGCGAGGCCCTATGTCTTGTTGTGCATGTCGAGAGTTGTGCAGCGAGCCGGTTGGTGAGCATTACCGTTGAGGTTCTGACAGGTTGGACGCGCCGGGCTTCACTCGTGCAAAGAAATTCTAAAAAAAAAATTCCAGGAAAAACGGCTGTCAGTTCCGTCGTTTTCTACTACAGAAGTAATAAGAAGAGATCGTTTTGAGAGATCGCGGCCCTCATCATGACTGAATCTGGCCTGCAAGAACCCTACCATACAGACGGCAATAACCCTACCATACAGTGTCACACGGAGTGTTACCCGGACTACAGGTTACTAAAATCTTTCAGGCCAACGCGCGGCCTCCAAAAAAAATTTGAATGGTCGTTTCTCATTTTACGCGAGCAGGGGGCCGGGTCTACTACCGCCCCTCACAACTTTTTTTTTTTTTTTTGACCCCCATTTTTGGAGGTGCACCGCATGCAGTGCGCGCGTGTCGTGCAGGAAGCGCGGTGCGGCGCACATGCGCAGTACAGCGCATCGTGATGCGCCGCAAGTATGATCCAACCTCTTTCACGGCCAAAGCGTTGTTGGCTTTTTTTTTTTTTTTTTTTTTTTGGGAGTCCGACAGTCCTGCTCCCCGTGTTCTACGTTCTGCTGAGGTGCCCTCACTGAGGGCAAACTCGCACGAGTACTCCAGAAAGTGTATCCAACTGCAATCACGGTCAAAAGCTTTTTTTTTGTTGTTGTGTTTTTGAGAGTCCCACAGTTTTAGGTTCTGCTGAAGTGCCCGCACTGCGAGAAAACTCGCACGAGCACTCCAAAAAGTGTATCCAACTGCAATCACGACCAAAGCTTGGTTTGTTTTTTGGGACGTACGGATTTGAGATGGGCCCAAAAATTCGAAAACCTTCTGACGCTCCGACCCTGCCCCGAGCCCACCTTTTACTTCTTGTGGCGACAAGTTGTTTTGCTGCAACGCTGAGGCCGTGTACTGGTGGTTTAAGACTCTGTTTTGCGAGGGGTGCAACTGTCTTTGCTATCTGGCTTTGGTGACTCTGGCATCATCCAACCTTCCCTCTCAATTTGATTAATGATCAGGATCTCTCCCGCTTTGATCAATGATTAGGATCACTCTCAAATTGATTGATGTTTATGATATCACGTTCATGTTTCTGCTGCTGCTGCTGCTGCTGGACCCCCCATGTTTTTTTCTTAATTTTAAATTTTCTATCCTCTTTATAAAGGGAAGAGCGGGTTTCGCGTGACGCTGCTGCGAACCCGACCTCCCTGTGTGGGGAAAGAGGCAGGGGACAAGGCGCGGGGCACGGCGTGGTAGAGGCGTCGGGTCTGCGTGTCGCTGCGGTGAACCCGACCTCCCTGTGTTGGGAAAGAGGCGGGGGACAAGGCGCAGGCCCAAGGGGACCTTGCAGAAATCGCAGGTTCGGGCTCGTGTGACGCTGCTGCGAACCCGACCTCCCTGTGTTGGGAAAGAGGCGGGGGACAAGGCGCGGGCTCAAGGGGAACTTGCAGAAATCGCAGGTTATTTTTTATGTGCTCTTCGTGAGCTCGAAGGGCGGCGCGGTGCGGTAGA